GCACACACGCTTGAAACAAGCCTCCTGCTCCCTTATAAGGCTTATGATGATCTACCCACTCCGCCAGGTGGCAGATTAAATATCAACGTATTGGTAACCATAGCTACTTTGACTTTTGCAGCCATCCATTTGTGCCGCACGTCTCATCACCCTTATCACAATAAAAACACCTTGGGATCTATAGAAACTTATCCATGCATTTATCTCCAACCGTATCGATAACTGCAGCAGCGTCTTAATTAAATCCTGGGAGATGCAGCTAATCACTCCAGTTCCAAAGATTTCTCATCGGCTATCTCAGCTTAGAGAACAGACCTTAAACACTGTTTGTTCAGAGACCTCTGATCAGTCTAGCTCCTTAACCCATTAAAGATCTGATCCATCGACCTTCTGCTCCACTCCGGGTCTGACCTGCTCTGCCTCCTCAGAATGAAATGAAGCAGCATTAACTTTGTGCACGTCAAACCTTGGAAAATTTCTGAAAATATAACTTATTTTAAATCTCGCTCAAAAGTCTCCATCTATAGCTGCTTTGTTGCATAATTTATGAATCATTAACGAGTATTTGACAAGTAATGTTAGCACTTGGAAAGGGTGTCTCCTTTCTGTGTGATTCGTGGTACTTCGGGCTAGCCTGCTGCTGCTGAAAGGTTCTACAGGCTACGAATTAAACCTCAATTTGACCACTACCTTTGACTAGTCCCCGCACAGGCATTGCAATCTTTAAGCTGCCTTTTATCCCCACCAAGCCTTCCTCCTTCTCGTCATCCAGCAGTCACCATTACCTCTGTTATCCCCACAGGTCATTCCAACAACTATTCAACAGTATTTCTAAAGTCTTTCACACCATCATGGTACGCCTTAACTAAATTTGGCGCAACTTAGAAATCTTTCCTTCCTCACGATGGGGTCACGTCCTTCACAATTTGTTCTTTCATCGCCACCTTCTACTCCCTTAATCTGCAATTCAACTGCAACATTTTCTAGCGCCTATTATGAAGTACAGACTTTTTGGGGTATCTATTCTTAATTATTGCTTTATATTCGTATGTATGAATATATTTTACATGTTTAGGTTTTTAAGATTCAGTCCTATCTCATTCTAAAAGCACTGATTTGCTGCTGGAAATGCACCATATAAATAAATCGCCTTTCCTCGAGGATCGAGGGGAAAACTGCCACTTACATCGATCACCTAGCACAATTTATCTCAGCAGATGCTTGTTTACTATCCATCCATTCTAGTAATCTATTAGTTTAGAATGCTCAAGGGACAACGCAGGTCCCGGATCTATGCCTGTTTCATGCTGTTCTCAATTTTCACTTTTAAGTCAGCAAGCCCCACCTCAACATCTACGTCCCTCACGCATGAAGTCTCCAGATCAGCCATGTCTTTAAATTTCTTAGAAATCCAAGATTCATGCGAGTTCCCCTTGGCCATTTCCAAGGCCTCATATTTAGTCCGCAGGCAGCCTCCCATTGCCCACAAGGTTCAGTCATAACCCAGTTGCCGATCGTCAGCGGCATCCTCCTCCTCGTACTCTTTTAGACCTCTCTTCCATTCTCACTGCCTTCAGACAATGGGTAAGCATTCATAACAAATCTCTGGTGGTGGAGTACTCCGACATACTAAATATCTATTGTTCAGGGAGTCGGCCGAGCCTAACAAGGCTGGAACAGCCTGCAGACCACAGACATCTATGCTGCACATCGAGGCCGGATCAGCTTGCAAGCCACACCAGCACCGCATCTCTCAGACTCAGTATAGCCTGCATGAGCCGCTAACTAGGCTCGAACAGCCTGCAGGCCACTGCAGTTATCGCCTCGCCTAACAAAGTTCAATATGAGCTTGCAGGCCCGGCTGCCGTGTGCCTAACAAGGCTTCAACAGCCTGCAGGCCATGGCCATCACTGCCTTCCTACCAAAGCTTCGCTAAGCTTGTAGGCCGGCTGCCGTTGCGCCTACGAGATTCGATCAGCTGCAGTCCGCGGCCGTCACCACCCGCCTAACAAAGCTTCACTATAAGCTTGCAGTCCGGCTGCCGTCGTGCCTATGAGGTTCGATCACCCTGCAGGTCTCGGCCTCTTTGCCTCGCCTAACAAAGTTCGTCATGAACTTGCAGGCTGGCTGCCGTGCGCCTAACAAGGTTCAAACAAGCCTGCAGGTCACGGCATGGCCTCGGTCCGGCACCCTCTTTTGGGGGAAGACCTACCTGAGCTTCGTTCGAGCCGATCATTCAAGCTCGCTGCGATTCTCAGCTCACACGTCTTCTGCCAGTGTCAGAGCGCCAAATTCTTGGTCCAATAAAATTGTCTAACTGCTGTTTCTCTCTCTGCGTGAGTCTCTACAGATTGAAATGAAGCCCTAGGCGGAAATTCAACCTGGAAGACTCTTCCAGCATCACCTATCACCACACCTTCACCCCAGCCAATCAAGACGCACCACCTCTCTACCTTGATCCAGTCACCTGGCAAGAGGTCCTTCAAAAGACGAAGCAACCACAGATCCACCCGCTTCAGTTGTGCTTCAACCCATCTCCTCCATGTTTCCACCACCAGCCTCCCAGACGCCCCAGGTCCCCTCAAGACTCCTCTCTCCAAGCTCCGCTCCACCACCAGTGACTGGGCCTGGGGGAAGACCTACCTGCGCTTCGTTCGAGCCGATCATTCAAGCTCGCTGCGATTCTCAGCTCGCACGTCTTCCACCGGTGTCCGAGCGCCAAATTCTCGTTCCAATAAAATTGTCTAACTGCTGTTTCTCTCTCTGCGTGAGTCTCTACAATTGAATTGTAGAAAACACCACACATTTCTTAATTTAAACTAAAGGTTTGAGTAAAACAAACAAATGTACACACCTATTATAAAGATGCCTACTTGCTTGCCAGGAAAAGTTCAGGAGTTTCTGGATGCAGCTGTTCAGGAGAGAAAACAAAATAATCTTATAAGGAGAAGGAAATATAAACACCAAAACATGCAAGTCTTCCAATGATTAAATCAATAATTTGTTTGTTTTTTTTTAACAATTAAATGAAATCATTTGTTCTGACAACAAATTTAGAACAGTACTAGTTATATAGTTTTTAAGCTAAGCTACAATAACCGATAATCAGTTTGCAAGCAGGCATTTCAGCAAAAACTCCCAATTGGAAGAATTGTTTTGCAAACATCACTTTTATTTACTCTCAGTGATGTTTATTCCTATTTCAGAAATAGGAAAATTAACTATCTGTATGTACAATCCACTGACTTACAATTTATATGAGGCAAGAAGCTTCTAACCCACTGTAACAGTTTATCAACCTAACCTAATCTCAACATGCCTGATTAGAGCACCGAACATGCAACAAATTTAACGCTGACTGAAACACGAGCCGTCCCCACCCCAGTCTGACGGTCGTCCCCTGGTCTAACCGCTTCCCTCCGCCCCAGTTTACGTTCGTTTGTCGCTCGACCCCCCCACACTCCCCACCACCTCCTCTAACTACCCCCTACTCCTGGCGACATTTTCCATATTCTAAAACCCCAAACTTGACATGGAAAGTATATTTACCGAAGTTAAATGGCCACCTGCTTTTATGTTAACAACCGGGTCATCAAATCATGTTTAGCAAATAAAACAACTGCAGCTTGACATTTTTAAAAAGCAGGATTGAGACATAAGTAGCATGACGCCATGAACGGATAGCTTTCACGCGCCCAGTTCAGTTTGACTTGACTTGTATGAGTTTGGTCAAATAAATAAATAATAGTAATACAGCAGTCACCTGTACTTTTACTTTTACAATACACAAGCAAACGCAGCATTTTAAAAATAATATATACCTTTTTTGTAAAAAAAAAAAAAAAGACTGCAAAACAGTTTGCAATTATAGACTGTGCCAGGAGTCTCACGAAGTCAAATGAAGTCAACTACAAATATTTCAAAACATTATTCACAGAAAAGAATGTGTTTTTATTTATTTTGCCAGGGAGGTTCCAGAAAGGTAACGCCAGCTCTTAATCCAACCGAAGTCCAAAAGATATATGTTCCAGGGTCCGGCTAGCGAACTTGAAATGTCATATGACCAGTTTTTGCGTTTGCGAAGTTTCTTGTTCCCATGATGCAATGTGTAAAATTGAAAATACAGTACAAATACCTGTAAAACTAAAAACGGAAAAATTCCTTCAAATTTCTACGGTACATTTACCCGTTTTTTTTACATTTTTTTTACAGTGTAGCTACAAAGCATTTGCAGTATGCTACCTATGAATATTTAGTTTGAAGCTATGACTTTATAAAATGAAGTCATTTATTTTCTCTTATTAACTCAATAACCATTATGTCTGTTCATTTTTGGCTGTGTAACTTCACAAATGGCACCCAATCGAACATATATTTGACTTTTCGGTAACACTTTATTTGAAGGGGGTTGACTAAGACTGACGTGACGCCGTCATAAACATGTTATAACACCTGTCATGAACATGAATAAGCCTTCATGAATATTTATGACTGTTGTCATAAAGCATCATTGGTAAATTATGACACTTTTAATACAAAGTTGACATTATTCAAAATGTCTTTGTTATGACAACTTGATATTAACCAGGAAATCATTGCTGTTTAAACTTTACCTTTAATAACATAAAGTTACCTAATTTTTAAAGTGCAATCAGTAATACTTTTATAACAAATTTATATCAGTAATGATTTCTTGGTTAATGTCAAGTTGTCATAACAAAGACATTTTAAATAATGTCAACTTTGTATTAAAAGTGTCAGTTTACCGAATGACGCAGAATTAACAGTCATAAATATTCATGAAGGCTTATTGATGTTTATGACAGGTGTTATGTCATGTTTATGACAGTGTCATGTCAGTCTTATTCAACCCCCTTCAAATAAAGTCTTACCGACTTTTCATATTACAACAACATGCAGGAATTTCACAAACATTTCCTCAAACACATGGTCTTTTGGTTTGTTTCCTGTCAGGCTAACTGGATAGTGAACTCTTCAAGCAAAATCGAGTGCCAGACGAAAGGCAAGAGCATCGAGGTACACTACAGCACATTAAAATAAAGAAATTATAAGTTTTTCCCCTCAGTTTTACAGTCTGTTTATAGAAATAGCTGTTCTAACAGGAATGTGACAACTACATCAGGATGATGCACACTCTGGATGATGGCAGAATTCTGGCTTGTGGAACCAAGGCATTCGAACCTACCTGCACACACCTGGTACGTTCCTCCCATACCTAAGGCTGGAGTTGTTGTCCTGTAGTTCCAGAACCATCGGCTGGGCAGTTGCTGTGTAGGAGGAATTTAGTTTATTGCAATAAAACAGGAAAGGATGTAAAAGCATGGATCACTAAGGTATTAGAGTTTTGCATTGTTTTTTCATTTTACCCTCAGAATTAAAACAGATTTATGGAAGAATAAGTAATATCCATCCATTCATCCATCCATCCATCCATCCATTTTCTTACACCCTTGTCCCTAGTGGGGTTAGGAGGGATGCTGGTGCTTCTCCAGCGAACGTTTCAGGCGAGAGGCGGGGTTCATCCTGGACAAGTCGCCACTCCATCGCAGGGAATAAGTAACATAATTTCTAAATTATAAATTCTTCAATGTTTCTTCAGATGGTCGACAAAGGACATATCACCATGGAGAACACAACTCACAGTGGCAGAGGGAAAATTCCCTTTAGCCCCAAAGAAAAATTTACCTCCATAATGGAAGGTTGGTGCAACACTTTTTATCCCAGGCCTAATGATGTTTCGCTCAGTATCTCAGTGCTTCCTGGTCTGGATTCATCATGTCTTATGTTCTTGTGTAAATTGGTCTGGACTCCTTATGTTGTGTGTCTTGTGTGGACCGTAACAGTTCTTGACCAAACAGCCGGTGAGCATTGAGAAACTTCATCCTATGAAATGTTTAGTTGTTTTCCTATGTCTCCATGGTTGTACATTTACTCATATCTACATACAACATCAACCAGTGAACCAGTGCTGCTTCTTCTCAGATATCTCATTCTCTTCTTGATGCTTCAAAGCCTTCAGAGTATAAAAAAAGTTAGTTTGGGGGTTTTGGGTTGCTGGATTGTAACCAGTTAAAAAACGGAGGAAACAGGAGCAAGAGAAAAAACAAATGGAGTTGATTAGATAATCAAAGTAACTTTTAAACTCAGGCTGTTTATTGGTTCACCACAAGTTTATGACCCTAATTATGGATACTGTTTGTAAAGTTAATCAATAATTAACAGCAATAATTTCTTTTCACATTTTATTTAACTTTTTATTTCATGCACTCAAATGTACATAGGAAAAGTTCATGTAATAGCTAGAAGAAATCATGAATACGAGGGTGAAAATGTCAGGGCCATATTCTTAGATTTGAAGACACCGTTAACCATGAACTTTTGCTGGGAAAACTGTCTAATTTGAATTTCTCAAATGCTGCTGTCTCATGCCAGTCAAATAGAATACATATATATTGGAGAATAAAACTTCACATACCTTAATTGTTCTGCTGCAGTGCCACAAAGCTCCATTTTGGGGCCCATCCTAGTCAGTCTTTACATTAATGACCTACCAGACTTTTGTTCGCATGTAAAAGTACAGTTACATTCAAACGATAGTGTTATTTATCTGTTTATGCCAGAAAAAAAGAAAGAATATTCTTCTATGCAGCTATTGCACCTGCTGCCTGCTGCTTGTTTTTCCCTGTAGTCCACAGATGGCCAGGAACCAAGTATTGTTGTTAATGGAGAGAGACTTGATCTGGTTGTAAAATGTAAATATCTTGGAGTCAATGTTGACCCAAATCCATCCATCCACCCATTCTGCAATTATTTTTATTTTCATATAAAATACTGCTATACAACCTGGCCATATGCAGCTGCAAGTATAGTAAAACCCATCATGTCTCTTCAAAAGGACAATAAAAACCTCTGACAAGAAATTGTTCCATTTTCATTATTGTAAAATTATTAACAAGCATAATGTTTTAAACCTTGATTCTTGTCAGATATATCATGAAGTCTGTATTATTTTTAAAGTTTTAAATGGGCTTTGCCCACCACCTCAGTTGATTTTATTCAGAAACGACACAATAAAATAAAATCCAGAGAACAAACCAAAGGAAACTGGAACCTACTGAGGCACAGAACACAGTTTTGACAGAAGGAGGAGTCTGTTAGAGACACATATTCATGGAGCGGACCATCAGCCTTTACCAAAGAGTGAAAACGACAACTTTTAAAAAGAATCGCAAGCATTGGTTGAACGCAAACCAGTTTGTATTCATTCATAATGTCTTGCGCTGTTGCTGTCTTCTGTCCAGTGCATTGCATTGCATGGTAAGGTGTTTTGTTTTTTGTGCTTGCTTGTCTTAGAACAAAATACGAAACTGAGCTGTTGTACTAATTCCTGCATATTTACACTGTCATGAATTGTGATAATATTGATTAATGTGTTCTGCCCTAATCAAATAAACTAAAATAAATTAAACATTTTAAAGTGTTGATCCATCAGAAAACATCTTCACAACATCCAATTTTAGACAACATTTTTTCTCGAGTACTGAGCAGCTGTGCAACAAAGCTAATGGTTTGAGTGGATTCCACCCATGCTGAAGGATTGTTTTTCAGTGATTACTTTAAAAATTGTTAAACATTTTCCTCTGCTATCAATAGGAAAGATGTTATATACTGCTGGCTCCACAGACTTCTTGGGAAAAAACATGGCTTTCCAAAAACATGGGCGCAGTGTGATCAAGAATGAACAAGGATCCTATTGGTTCGAGGGTGAGGTGATCACTTGACCCAGTTAAAATATATTTTCTTGTCAAACCTCACTCCACTTTTTATTGTGTCTGAACTTAGAGCCCACCATGATTTCCATACACATGGCTGAAATAAGCAAAACTTCAGAGAACAACGAGGATGACTACGTCTTCTTGTTCCTCACCGAGAACAGTGTTGAAGAAAAAAAACGCATTAAGTTGTCGAGAGTTGTACGAGTGTGTAAAGTACGTCTGAATGCTAAACCTTTTTTTTCTCTCTCGCTCTTGGTGAAGGCGGATGCCTCCTTAACCATTCTCATCCTCCTCACTGTTTTTGCTGCTTTTTTGGAGCCTTTCTTTGCATATCCTCCAAATCTACAAATTGTGCTGGTCTCTCAATGCAATTGATCAAGTTTTCTCAACGAGAAGACTAGGCACAGAAGAACCCACTTGTCCTGCAGGGACACATCCAGAGTGTACATCCTGGATTGGGTCGACTAGCGAACACTCACACTGACATGCTGAGTCAGTCTGAGTGTTTCGCTACCTGTGAGACTGAGATGCAAGTTGCATGCGATTTTTTCGTAGGCAAACTTTGGATGCTAAAACTCAATAGCCAAATGAAATCAATCTTGGAGAATTTGCTAGTTTTTGGCCCAGTGGAAACAACAAAATAACATAAATTATCCAGTTAAGACTCTAGGGCAGATGGAAAATGTAAGGCATCTAGTTTACATATTCACTAATCCCAGAACAGGAATCAAACCTATTAGTTGGAACAAAAATATGCAGAGGATTTCACTCAATCCAGAGCAGGAATCAGAACAAGCTTAGAATCCAGAGAAACTCCTATTAGTTTATAAATCATGGAATTCAAAACTTAGGGTTATACTTTTTTGTTTTCTATTTTTCTTCTTTTGCTCTTTCCTTTGCAACAAAACTTGTTTTGTTGTATTTCCTTTAAATTCGTGTAAATTAATTTGAATTGCCTTGTTGCAGAAAATGTGCTATATAAATTAAATTACCTTACCTAAACTTCCCTTTAAACACCACATGAATCAGTATTAAAGTCTGATATTTGTGCCGATTCAGAGCGACGTGGGAGGTGCAAAAATTTTGAAGAAAAAGTGGTCATCTTTCCTGAAAGCCCGTCTGGACTGCCCGTTTGGAGACGAAGCCTCTCACTCTCTGGTGCAGGACGTCTTTCTTCTACAAGATGAAAATAATATAACAAACAGCATCTTCTATGCAACATTCACCATAAACCCGTAAGTCATGTCTCCTCACGTTTCAATGTGCAAAGAATTCTGATTTTGTTAACCGCTTCATCTGCATTTATGATTGTACTGTTCATAAAATAAATTGAGTCCTATTGTTCAACTGCCATGATGTTAAGGTAGAAACACTCCTGCCTTTTCTGTGGTAACTCCAAAATATTTGGAAAAATTTGCCTGTTCAAGGATTATTTCATAAAGGACATCTGAAACAAGAACATTCAGCTTGGAAAGCTGAAATACCTTAGAGCTGTGCTACTTGACAATATATAGACTGGTGTCACAGCAGCCAATCAAGGAGTGCTATTAACTTTCATTGATGCTGATTGGGTGAACTCCCACAGTGGAGAAGAGAAAGACCTTGGATACTAGCTGCTGTAGTAGTTCTGAGGTTGCAGAGATTCCCCCAGAAAACTTGCTAAGCCTGGCGGTTGGGGTGCCGACGTGTCCACCATGTTTATGTATGAAAACATGTTAAGTAGACTAGAAATGCTGTTAGTGGTGGTGATGTTCTTAGCAGCATGAGGAGCCCCTAAGTTAAATTCTGCTCAAGGCCTCATACAGCCTTGGACCAGCCCTGCATGCCAAAGCTAAAGCCACTGCACA